CAGTTTGGTTCACACAGAACACTTAACTTGAAGCACAGACCCTGAACCTATCAGTTCTGGCTAACCATACAGACACCTGAACCTATCAGGTTGGTACTGACTGACACACAGTAGTACCCTGTCTGACACACAGACTCCCACTCAAGCTTCTTCTCTCAGCTTTCCCTCCAGCTTCTCCTAACTTCTCCACACAGGCTTCACATATATATACAGTACAGCCCCTCCTCCTGATGTCCCGCCTTCCACTCCCCATAGGATGGAACTTTCCCTCCAAACCCATGACAGACAGGTAACATCAGTGCTGTATGTAACACACATGAATCACTTAAAGAATGTATTGAAGGAACTCCGGAGAGCTCAATTAAGGGTCAATCCATCAAAATGTAAAATAGCAAGAAAAGGAGTGAAGTTTTTGGGTTTTCAAGTAGAATAGGGAAAGACTTAACCAGTGAAAGATAAAGCTGAAAATGTTTCAGGATGGGCAATTCCCCGGACAAAAAAGGAAATACAACAATTTCTGAGCCTGGCAGGGTACTATAGGTAATTTGTGCCTAATGTTGCAGAGATCACAGACCCTCTCACTCATCTCATGAAGATGGCTAGGAGGATTAGCTGGGGTGAACAAGAACAAAAAGCCTTCAACCAGTTGAAGGAAGTGTTAAGTGAATTACGTAGTTGATATGCCCCTAATTTCAATTTACCCTTTTTAGTACAAACAAATGTTTCTGACAGGGGCATAGGGGCAGTGTTAGCACAAAGGAGGGATTGGGTAGAATGTCCAGTAATGTACATTAGTAAAAAGTTGACCAATAGAGAACAGAAGTATGAGACTATAGAAAAAGAAGCTTTGGCAGTGAAGTGGACAGTACAAACGCTGAAATATTATTTGTTGGGGGCACCTTTTGTATTGATGACTGATCATGCCCCTTTACAATGGTTGAATAGAATGAAGGATTCTAATTCAAGGTTAACAAGATGGTACTTAAGTTTACAGCCCTTTGCATTCAAGGTACAATATAAGAAAGGGAACACACATGCTAATGCTGATTATTTTTCCTGACAGGGCACATGGGAAGACCTAGATAAAGAGAGGAAAGCCCACTTGTTAGGGGGTGTGAGAGCTGTAGGATAAAAAGGTGGAGAAGAGAGTGAGCTATCCCCTCACACGTCTATAGAGGAGGGTTGAGACAGAGAGATAGAGAAAGTAACAGAAGAAGTGAAAGGGCTGAAGGTGGGAGAAAAGGGGGAGGTGTTAGAGAAGCAAGGGGATAGATGTGTTCTTGATGATGGAGGAGGGGGGCAAGTCGGGAGAGACGAGGAAGGTGGTTGTTTTAGAAGACGAGTGGCAGCAAGAATACCATAAAAGAGAGAGATAAGGGATGGTGTGCACAAGAACATAGAAAGAGAAAGGAAAGAGGGTGACATAAAGATACCCTTAGAAAGTTTAGGACTGGAAGAATGAACCATACTGGTATATCCTTGAGGCCAAAGTCCATGGAGGAAGGTGGTCCAGCCGGGACCTCTCCAGCCAAATCAGAAGCCACCCGAGGGAGACTGCTGCGGGACTATATGTGCGGTGAGGAGTGGATGTTTGCAAAACCTGACCGATCAGGAGAGATTCTCCCCATTGAGGAAAGAAAGCTCTGGAGGAAGTTTACCATTGTTATGGACAGATTTTCTTGTAGAACTTGGTCACGTTTGTGATGAGATGGGGTATGTAGTTAAGATTTTGTATTGAATATGGTTTATGTGGTAATGAAAAATGCAAGAGAGGTTCCATCTTGTTTCTCTGCATAAATGATCTTTGCAATTGCTGACAGGGTGTTTGCTAGTGAGAGCTGGGAGAATGCTTTTCTGAAAGCATGAGAAGAAATACTGTGATAAGATAGATGGGTTTTGTTGTGACTCGGTGCAAAACCACAGAAACCCAAATAACATCTGTTAGCCATGAGAAGGAAGGTCAGGTGTTGAGCCTGGAAATGGTCTGGTAGCTAGTGCAGTTGTTGTAGCAGTTTCCTGTGGCTTCTGCTGTGTCAACCATCACCAAAGGCAACCCTACATAGAGCATATTAGAGAAATCTAAGATCATCAGAAGAGGATTTTCTCTTGGCCCCACCACCTTCACAGATGAGTCTTATGGGGACACAGAGAGGGTCTTCTCTGTTGCTGCCCCCAGGCTTTGGAACTCCTTCTCAAGAGGCCAGGCTGGCCACATCTTTGCTGTCCCTCCACAAGCAGACAAAGACCTTTCTCTTCAGCCAAGAGAATACTTATTGTTTTTAGCTTTAAATATTCTCTTTCAGTGATATAAGCCAACTTGGGTCCTTTTTAAGGAGAAAGGCAGGGTAAAAATATTTTTATTAAATAAATAATAAACAAATATGTAACTAAGCCATGCTCCACTGTAGCCAAATCAGACATCTCAAGGAACAGGCGCAACTAGCACCCTGGTTTTAACTGTCTGAATGCATTTTCAGTTGGTGCAGCCTGATGATGTGGACAGGATTCTTGAAGAGGCAAATGCCACCACATGTGTGCTGGACCCTTGCCCTTCCTGGCTCATAAAAGCAGCCAGAGGAGGAATGCTAATTGGGTACAGGGAGAGGTAAATGCCTCCTTGCAGCAGGGTAGGATCCTTGCTGCTTAAAGGAGGCAGTAATAAGACCACTACTGGAGAAGCCCTCCCTGGATCCCAGTATATTGGATAACTACTGACCAGTCTCATACATCCAATTCCTCGCAAGGTACAGGAGCATGTGGTGGTTTCTCAGCTCCAGGGATTCCTGGAGGAAGCAGTTTATCTAGACCCATTTCAATCCAGTTTCAAGCCTGGGACAGAGATAGCTTTGGTTGCCTTGGTGGATGAGGTACACCGGGAACTGGATAGGGGCAGTATGTCCCTGTTGGTCCTGCTGGACCTCTCAGCAGCTTTCAATACCATCAATCATGATATCCTTCTCGGCCGTCTGTCTGGGCTGGGACTTGGAGCACTCTTTTACAATGGTTCTAGTCGTACATGGAGGAGAAAATCCAGAGGGTGATGCTGGGGGACTCTTGTTCGACACCCTGGCCATTGGCCTGTGGTGTCCTTCAGGGTTCTGTTTTGTTCCCTATGCCCTTAGAACATCTACATCTACATGAAAGCACAGGGAAAGTTTGTCCAGAGTTTTGAAGTTTGGTGTCAACAGTACACTGATGACACCCAACTCTATCTCTCCTTTTCATCTAAATCCAAGGAAGCTGTTTTGGTTCTAAATTAGTGTCTGGTATCAGTAATAGACTGGATGAGGGTGAATAAAGTGAAACTTAATCCAGATCAGACACAGGTGCTCCTGGTTAGTCAAAAAGCAGATCAAGGAATAAGGTTGCAGCCTGTGCTGGATGAAGTTACACTCCCTCTGAAAACACAGGTGTGAAGCCTGGGGGTGTTCCTGGATTTATCTGAGCTTGGATGCCCAGGTTTTGGTGGTGGCCTGGACTGCCTTTGCACAATTATAACTGGTGTGCCAGCTGTGCCTATTTCTTGAGAGGGCTGATTTGACCATGGTGAAACATGCCCTAGCTACATCTATCCTGGATTATTATAACAAACTCTATGTGGGACTGCCTTTGGAAAATGTTTGGAAACTCCAGAGGGTCCAAAATGCAGCAGCCAGATTGCTACCTGGGGCTGGTTACAGAGAAATGTTCCCTGGTTACAGGGAACATTTAACTTCTCTATTACAGGAACTCCACTGGCTGCTCATTCATTTCCAGGCACAATTCAAAGTGCTGGTTTTAACTTATAAAACCCTAAACTGCTTGGGTCCAAGAGGGAGGGAGAGAGAGAGAGTTACTATAGAAACACTTCCAGAATGTTTTGCTTTTCGAACATAAGGAACGTTTTTCCAATTCTTGTTCTGAAGCAGAAGAAACATACCTGGTTGAAAACTAAAATGTAGCGTAAAGGCTTCATGTTTGGATAAATCCATTGCCACCATGGCACGTGCCCTTCCTTTGTTCTCAATAAAAAATGGAATTTCTTGAGTAGAGCCAACATAAACACCAGGAAAGTTAAAGGATTTCTTTAAAGAATAAAGAAAGAAACATTTATATGACTTGGGACAAAGGTAAGCAGGCACCTCTGCTAAGAGTCAAACAGGGTGGGTGGGTGGTAGAACAGCATGGAGTAGTGAAGGGAGAAGGGCAAATCTTCAGTACATATACATGAAGACCATGAGGAAGAATTAGTCTTTCTGCTGCATCAAGAAGCATCCTTGGTCATTTGAAACAAATATTACTGCTGGAAGATCATATTATGCTTTGAATTTGATTAATTTTCACCCTTGAAAGAGAAGCTTGCTAAACAGCCTTCTTTCTCCAGTTCATAAGATACTATAAATCAGCTACAAGGTAAGTGTCACAATATTTTTTCCAGTAGATACATGATGTGTCATCCTAATCAAAATTAAACAGATCTGGCCTGGATGGAAGACTATCTGAGAATTGTACATACTCCTTGACTATTATAATAGAAGAGAACTGTACATATTCCTTGAGTATTATGGTAGAAGATAAACTGGAGATGGATAATTCTAAGAGCCGGATTGTTAACTGGAGCAGTTACAGGGATCATATAATTCCCCTTTTACAAGAGCTCCACTAACTGTCTCTTCATTTCCAGGCATAATTCAAAGCGCTGGTTTTGACCTGTGCCTTCTCTGCAACTCTTAATAACATCAGAATCAGCAGTTGCCTGTAGACTGAGCAGAGATGAAAACTTGCTCAAAGATTTCATGGGGGAGCTTGACCTGTCATGGTTACAGTACTGTTAATTTTTTTAAAAAAATAGCACATGCTATCGTGTTTTCCCGAAAATAAGACCGGGTTTTATATTAATTTTTGCTCCAAAAAAAGCATTAGGGCTTATTTTCAGGGGGTATTTAATTTTTTTCATTTACAACAATCTACATTTATTCAAATACAGTCACATCATCTTCTTCCGGTTGCTGCACAATTCTGCACAATGGTGGAAGGCGAGGTTTCACTTAACTTTGGAATAGGGCTTATATTAAGAGCATCCTGAAAAATCATACCAGGACTTATTTTCAGGTTAGGTCTTAATTTCGGGAAAACAGGGTAAAACTGACTCATTACCTCTGGATCAGATTTTAATCTGAGCTGGAGAACAACTGAAGATCTTAAAAACTTTGTCTCTCCATGGAGGTTGGCTTTTATGAGCTCTAAAAGTTTTCCTCCAAGGCCAATATTGGAGAAATTTATCAGAATCCCTAAATATACTGGCTAAAATCTTGTTGCTTAGTGTAGTAAATTTCACTAAAGTAGACCATCAAATCAATGAGAAGTTTCTAACTGTAACTTGCTATGCTAAAATAGGCCCATTTGAATGGAATTTACAGAGGAATTGACTCATCAAATCTTAATTAATTCAGTGGGGTTATTCTAGTGTGATTTACAGTGTCAAGCAACAAGATTTTGCTCAACTTCTCAAAGTAATATAGTAAAGGTTTTAGTACAAACACGCAACTAAATCATTGTTTCGAGACCCTAAATCTTACATATAGGCATAACTTGGTTTACAAAATTAATGCATCCTCCGGGACATTACGTCCGGTTTACAAAATTAATGCATTACGTCATGCGGAATTTTTGTAAACCGATACACAGATTGCACTAGGAATTGGGGTGGCCTAGAAACTTCCAGGCACAATGCATCTTGGGGAAACCCTTTCATACAGTGGGGGTGGGGGACAGAAAATGAACATAAACTGGGGCATTATTTTCTATGGATTTTGGTTCTTAAACTGAAAATTATGTAAACCGAGGCTTTCATAAAGCGAAGTACAGTGGTGCCTCACACAACGATGTTAATTGGTTCCAAAAAAATCAACGTTGTGTGAAACATCGTTCTGTGAAACACCATTTCCCATAGGAATGCATTGA